ATATTCTGTGGAGATTAAACGCGCTAAAGCGCATGGAAGGCAAGAGAGGAAAGAAGGAAAGAAAAGAAGAAGGAAGCAAGGAATAGCTAGGAAGAAAGGAAGGAAGGAAGGAAGACAGGTTGTACATAGAATGTAGAACAAATATTAGATTTCAAAGAAAACTAGCAAGTACGTGGAGATTCAACGCACTAAAGTGCATGGGAGGCAAGGGGATAGAAGGAAGGAAGGAAGGAAGGAGGGAAGGAAGGAAGGAAGGAAGGGTGTAAATAGAATGTAGAACAAATATTAAATTTCAAAGAAAACTAGCATGTGGAGAATTAACGCACTAAAGTGCATGGGAGGCAAGGGGATGGAAGGAAGGAAGGAAGGAAGGAGGGAAGGGTGTAAATAGAATGTAGAACAAATATTAGATTTCAAAGAAAACTAGCATGTGGAGAATTAACGCACTAAAGCGCATAGGAGGCAAGGGGATGGAAGGAAGGAAGGAACGCTGTAAATAAAATGTAGAACAAATATTAGGTTTCAAAGAAAACTAGCATGTGCAGATTCAACGCACCAAAGCGCATGGGAGGCAAGGGGATGGAAGGAAGAAAGGAAGGAAGGAGGGAAGGAAGGAAGGAGGGGTGTAAATAGAATGTAGAACAAATATTAGATTTCAAAGAAAACTAGCATGTGCAGATTCAACGCACTAAAGCGAGTGGAAGGCAAGGGGATGGAAGAAAGGAAGAAATGAGGGAAGGAAGGGTGTAAATAGAATGTAGAACAAATATTAGATTGAAAGAAAACTAGCATGTGGAGAATTAACGCACTAAAGCGCATGGGAGGCAAGGGAAAGGAAGGAAGGAACGTTGTAAATAAAATGTAGAACAAATATTAGGTTTCAAAGAAAACTAGCATGTGGAGATTCAACGCACCAAAGCGCATGGGAGGCAAGGGGATGGAAGGAAGGAAGGAGGAAAGGAAGGGAGGAAGGATGTAAATAGAATGTAGAACAAATATTAGATTTGAAAAAAAAATGGCATGTGGAGATTCAGCGCTCTAAAGCGCGTGGAAGGCAAGGAGAAGGAAGAGAGAAATTAAGGAAGGAAAGAAGCACAGAAGAAAGGAGGGAATGAGGGAAGGGTGTATGTAAAACAAATATTAGATTTCAAAGAAAATTAGCATGTGGAGATTTAGCGCACTAAAGCGCATGGGAGGCAAGGAGAAGGAAGGAAGGAGGGAAGGAAGGAAGGATGTAAATAGAATGTAGAACAAATATTTGATTTAAATGAAAACTAGCATGTGGATATTCAGCGCACTAAAGCGCATGGGAGGCAAGGAGAAGGAAGGAAAGAAAGAAGGAAGGAGGTAACGAAGGAAAGAAGGAAGGGTTTTTTGTAAATAATAGAAAATAGAACAAACATTAGGTTTGAAAGTAAACAATTCGCCCGTATCCACACACTTTTAAGACCCGCCGACCGAACAAAACAAAAAATGAATAATCATCTGTATGAAAATCTTGATCAGCTGAGTTAGGGACTTGTGCAGTTCCCCATCATCCCGCTTGGTGGCGCTAATCTATAATATCGTAGCGCGCGGTCAATAAATAGTCTATCATTTGTCTGTAACCACCTCGGCCGGCTAATAAACTAAAAGCTTCAAAAACGGAAAGGACAAGACGCCATGGCGGATGTGAGCTACAATGACGATCCCGTCTATGACTCTGATGACGAGTTACCGAGCCTGGTGTCCATCGACGGCTTGGAATCTGACGACGGATACGAGTCAGACGACATCTATGGGCAACCTGAGGATGATTTTCAACAGGAACAACACTTGGGACCAGCTCCACAAGAAGGAATCGGCAGATAGGAACAAAAGACATCGCCACAGGCTCAAGACATCGTCACAGGCACAAGACATTGTCACGGGCACAACTCCGGAGGGACTACACAGAATAAGAAAATGTACTGAGCCACTGTAAAAGTCTGTCAACAGTTTTATCATTGGATGTGGAAAGATGTTCCTGAAAATACATAGCGATGGAGGATTTCACCAAAGACCAGAAGAGGTTGAACTTTTTACTTGCTATCGTCCATGCCAGTTCCTTCTGTATCTGTTCTAAACGCACTTCGTGTGAAAAAAAAAGAACTGCCATTCTTTCAACATATGCACGTGTAGACGCGAAGACTGTCACCGACCGGAGGACGATTCGTGATACTGCATAATTTGTGTGCTTTACTGTGGAGCAAAGGCAGTGAGGAAGAAAACTTGGACAAAATTTGCAAGTACAATCATGAAGCATGGTGTATGTCTTATCAATATAATTGAATCGCTGTATATAGCAATATAGTTTTCTTTTTTTGTGTACAGTATAGCAAATCCTGTGTGCAGATTTCTCAGCATAATACACAAATATTATATATTGAATCATGTCTTTATATGTCGACGCAAAGTCAATATTCCGATGAATAGGAAGAAATTTAGAAAACAAAAAAACTCGTGAAAATATTGATGCAGACGTGTTGTGGTTCAAATTTCAGTGGTGAAATGTGTGTGTTTTTTTTTTTTAGAAAATTGTATACTTAAAAATGTATTGAATTGTACTATTTTTATGACTGTCAGACTGAGTCAAAATTGAAGTTCTGGAAGATTTCTTGCTATTTACTTTTGTATACAAACATCTAAGACAATGATTCACACAACCAAAACTTGTTCTATCCCTGTATATGTAGTAAATCGAGTTAGACAAGTAACGATGGCAACTGTTGTCAGAGATGTGAATATTTTGTTACATTTGATTTAGTCGATCAAAAAGCTGGGATTTCTGTAAAGAATATTTTGCGAAAAAGTTGTGAAAACGTTCAACCAAATGTAAGATATGTGCATATAAATGCATATCATATGCATATCTTTTTTGTATCTGTGTAGAAAGAAAATGTTTTCTAGCAAAATCACCTGAATGTCGATACAAGAACTGGACGACAAGACAAGTAGCCTGTTAGACAATAATAAAAAAAAGTCACTCAGACCCAGTTGTCTGTTTATTTGTTTATTATGATTTTTCACAAAGTGAAAGGGAGGGCATACACACCTTTACAAGTTGCCCTCCCCTATACAAAAACACATATACAACATCAAAATTTACATCGTCAATAACAAGTAAAACATACATCAATATAGAAGGTTAAGAATAATTCAAATACGTATATATCTAATAAGTAGTTATATTGTTTCGATAAAATAAGACTTAGTGAGGTCTAGAAGCAACACAAGAACTACACCCACAAGAAGTGGTCCAAGTACATGGCAGGTCAAGACTGTAATGTGTGTGAAATTTATTGTGGGTGGCTTTTAGTAGTTTATGTTTAGGCCATGTTGATTTGATTATATGGATGACATCCTCCGGGAGCCCCAAAACTGATGCGCGTGTGCGAATAAAAAAAAAGGTTTGCAAAAAAAAGTTCTTTTCATTATGAAATCTACGTGGTCATGAGGGTTGACCAAATGGCACAGAATATGGTTTGGCGAATAATCTAGTCTTCAAGTTCATTTCTTTACAATTTCGTCTTTTTTCGTTTGATTTTGGCATTCTACGACATTGGTATAGTTTTTATTAATTTTGTTTTGTAACTTATGGTATATTTTTGCTCATTTTACAACTGTTTTGTACGATTTACAGTATGGTTGAAAACTTGAAATGGTTGAAAACGCGCGCGGATGTCATCCATATAATCAAATCAACATGGCCTTAAATGATATAACATCTGACTGATGAGCTGCTCGCTCACCAGTACCACGGAGGTCAGAGTCCAAATAGTGACTAACCTGGGGATGTATGTGTGACTGAATGCAGATGTCTGTCTTTGACTTATTGTATAATGGTGCTCAAATTACCCATGTTTGTAATTGTCAACTCTACTTACGAGTTGTAAAAAAAAATGGCAGCCATCTTTGATGTCATCATTTCCGCCGGAAGTTACGTCACACGGTGAGACGAGTACTTCCTTAATACTCACCTGTAATCTAAAGTTTTTAAATGAGGTAATTCTGACATCACTTCCTGTCTCACGTTCCGTCCTTCCGTGCGTTATAAATACTGGGGTACAAAAATAATCATTGCATAAAAGTTTTTATACTTTTTCAGAGAGAATGCATAGATCGCATGCATAGTATACACACGTTTTTCCAATACCATTCAGTGTAGATTGAGGTCAAATTTCAGAAACCTTGTCCGATATTATATGTTAAAACTATTACTGGATTTTCCTATTGACATGTATGTCCCTATGACTTAACATGCATACAAATAGTACTAATGTGTCCCATGTTGTTTAAGCCAAGGTAAAGCTAATGTTAACCTGGGCGTCCAACGTTCGCCTGTTGCGGCTGTTGTTCAAATGGCACACAAATTTAATCGCTACATCCTTTATTCCAGCTGAACTTATTAGAAACTATAGAGTTTACCTAGAGCTGACATTAGGCCACACCGCCTTAATTTTATGGATGGCATCCTCTGAAGACCCCCAAACTAGTGCGAGCGGGCGAAAAAAAAATCCGGCCAAAAATAAAAATGCTACTAAGCCACCGGAATACAGAGGCAAAGCTGGTACTGTGAATGTGCGGCAGAACATAGCGACATATACGAATGGCCGGCACATGCTGGCTTTTTGCGGATTTATGAATCGACACTGTACGTATGTACTGAGGTCTTGCGTCGTGGAGCTTTGGAAGCCTGGGTGCCATACTCCAGCGTTACCACCGGTTGTCATCCATAAAATTAAGTCGGTGTGGCCTTAATACAAAATGAGAGTTCGCCATATGATGTCAATGACCTTCAGAGAATGGATGCCCATCATTGTCTCTACTGACTGATCCGTACTAAGCAGTACCACGCTCCTACATGTCGTAAAGACTCTTCCCTTTGTTAGTGTGTGTATACAAATCAAATATCCGAGTTCAACGCTCTTCCGTCGTGACTGTTGTTGAAGTGACTCATAATTACAACATCCTTTATTCCAGGTAAAAAAAAAAAACGACGACACAACAGTCCGCCATTATTCACTGATCCGTTAATCACCTGCACTGGTGCGGTGACTCTGACTGTGCACAAGAACAGTAGTCTCAGTGTTGGAGCGGCCATTTCGGCGGAAAGAAGGAGTTTGTTTGGCTGTGCCGAAATGGAGTCGGTTGTTTGGGTCTTCACGGTTGTACTAGCGTTGCAGTGTGGCGGTGTCGTTGGTGGTAACGACGTTACTGACATGGACGGTGGAATGGTACGTGTGTTTGTGTTGTCTGAAAGTACGTGAGTTGTGCTCGGTTTTGAGATTGGTGGGGAGTACATTACGTTTGTCATTTGTTTGTTTCCGGGTGTGAGAATGACGAGAAGGCGGGAGAAACCAGCTTCAGACGACTTGTTTTGACGGGCATTTTCATACATACAAACTCCCAGACAAGTTCTGTCAACAAGCCAGCAAAATCTGACCTTACAGTTGACCTTAATGTTGTGTTTTCGCCATTTGAGTGTTGGGGGGGGGGAGGCGTCACAAATGGATATCTCTAACTTGATCAGTAGGAAGTTACGCTTTTCACGGCCACTTTTCTATCACATAAAAAAGCTTTGCTTTCTGCGTGGCTTTATCGAACGAATGCTACAGTTACAGCATAATTTTCTGACGCCCGTGAATGTACGTTTCCTCATAGTCATATCTGTAGTTCGTAATTGCTGTGACAGTGACAGAAGTGGCAGAACGAGTCACTAGAACGTATCTAGCTGCAGTGTCCTTAGTACAACGTACCCTGAGGCACATACTTTGTTTTTCTGCTATCAGAACTTCATTGCAGACACGTTGACATTATATGATAGTTTACTTGCATGAACCATTACATTAAAGAAATGGGATGTCTGTCACATGCTTGTAAATAAACTGAATTTGCTGTAAACATAGACTGAGTTTGCGCCTCTGAAAAGGAGTTGGCACCCCTAAGAAATCTTATTGGTACAGTCTGTCCCGGTCGAATAAACACCTGTAATGATGTATAACATGGCTGCTACACTTTCAACTACATACCTGGGCGAGTTCTCTGTCTGGAACAAAAGACAGATTGTTCCCATGGAGTGGAAGCGGGTACTAGTAATCTCCAAACAGATCTTTTGGTGGCTACAAGAATTATCAAACTGTCAACGTAGTATCCGTTTGCTACCAAAGGCTGGCGACAAAAGATATATTAGTATACTAGTAGAAAAAGAAGCCAGTTAGAACGCATTTAACACGTCAAAAATAAGCCAAAGCCTACATCTCTGCTTAGAGCGTAAGAAGCTCGTACAAGCACAGGTCTTCGTCTTCAAAAAACGCCTGATTGTACAAAAGATACGACTTTTGGCAACATGTTAACGTTTTAGTTGCAGTTTTCAAAACAACCGCAAGAGAGCACTGAGTCAAGCAGTGGTTAACAATCAAGTCAAGTCAAATAAACGACGTTTTACATGTACTTGTAAAATGTCGTTGGTCAAATCAAATCAAAGGAACAAACGTTGAGAATACGTTATTTTGAGGCAACGAACAAACTGCTTTTCAGAGAGAAGGTTTTTCTCAGTGCAGCTCTCTTTTTGTGCGATCAATTTTTGGCGACGCCTCCGGGACTGAGCCGACATCACCCATACAGAGTCAACAAGTTGTAATACGGTAGTTTATCCTTTTCCCGGTAGAACTACCTACACCGCTATGGGTACGTCGGGATGGTGCGCGCGGACAACAATATGACACGCATGGACTCTGACCAGACCAGGAGGGCCATTATGATGTTTCAGAGGTTCGCAAATCTCAATATGACAGGTAAGAAATCATATTCAATATTCCATTTTATAAGTGAGAAATATACGTACTAAGTTTGTGTATATACTGTTTTCTCTGGTGCGTCTTTTTGTCAGTTTTCTATGTATGTATGTATGTATGCGAGCGTGTGTCTGCATTTGTTGTGTGTGTGTGTGTGTTTTGTGTGTGGGTGTGTGTATGTGTGTGTGTTGTGTGTGTGTGCGCGTGTGTGTGTGTTGTGTGTGTGTGTGTGTGTGTGTGTGTGTGTGTGTGTGTGTTGTGTGTGTGTGTGTGTGTGTGTGTGTTTGTGACGTCACATTATGCAGATGATACGTGACTCGGTGAGCAGTGGGTCACAAGTTGGAGAAAGTCTGTGGCGTCCCCCGTTTGTTGCAATATGACAATGTCTCTGTTTACCCAGGTGTGATGGACGATGCGACAATGGAGAAGATGTCTGAGCCTCGCTGCGGCGTTCCTGACATGAACGGCACCAACTCTCTGTTACGTCGCCGCCGCCGGTACGCGCTGTTAGGCAGCAGGTGGCTTATAAAGGACATCACCTACCGCATCACCGGGTACACTCAGAAACTAGCCAGGAGCATCGTCGATAACGACATCAGGGAAGGTTTTAAGGTGAGTTAGATGGAAATTCTGAGGGCACTCACTTGACAGCTAGCAGCAGGAAATATACATATTATGGCCTGTGGGCTTTACATGCGTTAAGTGCCGTACTGTCAATGATATATGATGCGCTGTGAGTTGTTTTGAGTTGTGTTAAGAGAGAGAAAAAACCTAGGAAACTTGTCGTATCTTCAGTTTATTCATCTATTTATTAGTTATGTATTGCCCAACAAGTCATATACTATTGTTAAGGGTCAACACTGGGAGAGAATAGAGTCGTTAGGTATACATGCAAATACAATTGATAAGATACACGGTCAAATTTGCAATAATGTATCTTCATTTCCCAACAGGTGTGGTCGGACAATTCCAACCTGAAGTTCAGGCAGGTCGAATCGTCAGATGAAGCAGCCCACATCACGATGTTCTTCGCGCCCGATGACCACGGTGACCGGAGCCCGTTTGATGGGCCCGCCGGTGTTCTCGCTCACGCTCTGCCGCCCGCGGGAAGGGGAGAGACGCACTTCGACGACGATGAAACCTGGACTACTGGGACCTTTTCAGGTGACGAGAACAAATGTTCTGTTTTTATTTGCAATTCGACATGGATAATACAGGACATGGTGGTGAGGTACTCTAGCTGTAGCTAATTTTAACCTCGCCACCAGACATACAGGTATAATAAATTGTTTTTATTGTCCAAACAGTACCCGTGCAGTCGCAGCCTTTATACGACTGAATTGATGCAGGTATCACAATAACCAATACAAATCACAACAATTACAACAGTCAAATAATACACATGATACACATATTTGTTCCACAATTATTTTTGTGGAACTGTCTCAAGGGTCTGTGCGGCTGCCATTCGGCGTCACAAGGTGACCTCAATACGACTTTCTCCAACCGAAGTTAGGTACCCATTCACCTCTTGGTGGAGTGAGGAAATTCGTGTAAAGTGCCTTTCCCAAGGGCACAACGTCGGGGCGCATGTTCAGACATGTCCCGGGTACGACTCAGAATCGAACCCAGGTCTCCCGGTTCACAGTCGATTGCTCTAACCACTACACCATCCCCGACGCCACACTACACAGCGACAAAATACAAAATACAATGACAAAAACAACAGGGAACATCAAATGGGTGGAAATGGCAAAAGGGAGATTATGGTAATGATCATGTTCATGTATGAGAGAACAAATGTTCATGTTCATGTATTGTTTCTTGATATTTTGATGTGACAAATTGTACCCAATTCAGGGGGAAGTGGTTGTACCCCCCCCCCTGCTGATGCACATTTGGAATAATGATATGAATCTTTATTGCATGTTCTTGCCCAGATGGGCTAAAAGAGGACATGCAGTCAAAACATGAGTATTGCATACTGGAACGCTATATTCTAATGCTAATTGCTATGAATCTATACATTATATCAATATTATATACTACCTATCATCTACTGTTAGTTGCCCTTTCTTCTCTCTTTTTGAAGCATTTGGAGACATAATTAAATCCTTTGTCTGCTATACATTCGTTCTTGCATGATATCAAGATTATTTAAAATCAGCACACAAAGCGTCTTTTAGTGTCAGATATCATTACTACTTAGGGCACAAAAACTCAGCCACAAACAGGATTCGTGTCTTTACACGACAACTGTAAGAAACCGGAGGAGCCAGTAAAAACCCCTTGGTCCCGGGCCGGATTCGGACTCACGGCTCCCGGGCCACAGTCAGGCGCTCAAACTGAGTGAGCTAAAAGGTCTAGACCCCTTGGCTGGGTCAGTTGGTAGCACCTATAAACCCCCAACTGTTACACAACGACGGCAACAACGACGATAGCAGAAGGACTGTTGATACGTTGTCAGCTAATTGTGTTTGGTTGTACTCTCCAAGCAGATGTTGAGGTATTGGCTTATTTTTGGCGTTTTTATCGGGCTTTCTTTTTGTACTGGATTTTTTTTCATGAAAAACAGGCAGTAAAACAGTAAAAAGAAAAGAAAGCCAGATAAAACGCGCCAAAAATAAGCCGAAGTCTAAACCTCTGCTTTATAGTAGTGTTCAAAGAGATTTTAAACCTGTTGATTTTACTAACCAAATGAGGCTATTCATGGGGTTTAAGTAACCTGTTTTCATCAATGTTTTGTCCTTCACCCCAGGAATCAACCTTCTCCAAGTGGCGGCTCATGAGTTCGGGCACGCCCTTGGTTTGGGCCACTCTGACGTGGAGGAAGCCCTCATGGCGCCCTTCTACAGGGGGTACAAAGAGAACTTCCAGCTTCACTCGGACGACATCCAAGGGATACAGATTCTGTACGGTAGGTAGCGTCATTCAAGCCTTCCAAATATAGGCTTGAGAGTCATGAAAGTTCATGTGTGTTGGTAGTAATCATAGTAAAACGTTGAACTTTATTCCACCACACAATTTACAATCGATCAATTGCTTACGTCACGTATCAGTAAAGTCTCGTGTGAATAAGGTCACGTGCTTGTAAACCGTAACTCTCGCGAGATCACGTTGTGAAGTGATTGGCCATTAATAGTAATTATGCTGATGAAGGCGATAGTGGTCGCTGAAAATTTGATCTCTGTGAATTGTGTGTTGGAATAAATTCAACGTTTCACTAGTCTTGAGAGTCGACTGGAACAAGTAGAAATTGAGTAAAAGGCAGATGACATAAAAGGGGACTTAGTCCGCCGCTGAAGAAAGAGGACAATAGGACGGAGCAAAGTTTGTCACTAGCCCCAAATTGTACTCATCATATATACCGGACCTCCTCTCTTGGCGTGTTATCTGCTGTCTGTTTGGCCTACTGTGCTACTAGCTCTTCCCAGCCGCTTCCAAAGCCTGGTAGAGGCTTGTGTAGTGTTATATTAAGCATTCTGTCTTCCTATAGTATGACATTAATACCTTCGGTCCTGTGTATGGACGTTAGAGACTCAGCACACTTATCGATGACTTATCGAGTAGTGGTAGCCCGGTGTGCTTGGCTAAAACGCAAGCCGTGTGGCAGCCGCATCTACTATCGCTAGCGAAAATTAAAATCACTACGCTTCGCCTTATACACTGTAGGAATGCGTAGGAAAGAGACCAGCTTTTACTGTCTCAATTATCTTGTAATAGACTGCGGACATGTAGTACATAGTTTTCTGCCGTTTAAAAAAAATGTTTTACGTTGCCGCCGCGGAAAACAGGAAGGCCTGAAGTCGAGCGTCCAGTCGTTGACCCCGGTGCCGTCGTGCCCCAGGCCCCAGTGACGACACCGCCGCCTCGTGTAACCGTACGGGCAGCTTCCAAACCACCTACACCCAGCAGCGCCACCCAGCGAACCGGCGCCGCCACTGCAGCACCGGGCTCGGGCGCCGGACCAGTCCCGGATAGATGTGCCGGTTATGTAGACGCCATCACGCAAGCGGGTGGCAAAACTTACGCCTTCAGAGGTAAATGTATAAACCTAGATATTCTGATAATATTATGAGTTTTTCTCGACCGTAAGCAGCCGTTTTAACAGTTGGTTAGCGAATAATGTTCAATGCTTAGTCGACCAACGATGTCAGTATCGATGCCCCTCGACGGACCTACCGTTAGTAACAGCATCTTCAGATACAGGGATAATAGTTGTTATATACAATCAGTTCAAGTCTTTCCGGCATTAGGGAGTGCATAGGGCGGTGCCCATCTCCGGTTCAATAGCCCTTGGGCCACACAGTTGTGCAATCCCTTTAGCACGGGGCTAGTCCACCGGTAGTGGTGTGTATCTGTACTTTTTCCGAAATGCTGAATGCTAAGCAGAGAAACAAGTATGGTAAGACTTGGCCGGGGATCGAAGTCATTACCTACCGAATGCAAGGCAAACACTCTCCCCACTTGACCATTGCGCCGGTGTTCTATACAATCAAGTGATAGTAAATGTGTACTCTGGTTTCTCAATACTTGATTGCTAATCATACCCGAAATCTTTGTCTTTTTGCTCCTCGCTTCTAACAGGTGGATATTTCTGGGAGTTGACTCGCACAGGAGTGGCCGGAGGTTACCCCAGGAAGATTTCCGAGAACTGGTCCGGGTTGCCTAATAACCTTGACGGGGCGCTGTACACTCGGGAAGACAGGAAAACCTACTTCTTCAAGGTAAGAAAGAATTAGCCTCTACCAGGCTTCGGGAGGCGGCTGGAAAGAGTACTAGAAATCGGCCAAATAGAGAGATAACATGCCAGAGGAGTTGGTCTGCTGGGAGACTAAAACAGTTTGCCGCGGTAAAGACAAACTTCCATGGCACGTTATCACTCTATCTGGCCGATTTCTACTCTTTCCAGCCGCCTCCCGAAGCCTGGTAGAGGCTGAAAAAGAATGCCCTGCTTCCCTGTACGCAACCTACCTTTCAAAATGGCGACCATGTACCAGCGAGACTAGTAGAGAGCCGTAATTACCTTCGCCAAGAAGGTTATGTTTTCAGGGGCGTTCGTGTATGTGTGTGTGTGTCTGTCTGTCTGTAAACACGATAACTTGAGTAGGTCTAAATGGATTGTCTTGATACTTGGTAGGTGGGTAGGGCTTGATGAGACCTCAAAATGATTAGATTTTGGGCCCCCTGGCGGCTTGTCATGGTACTGCAGCAGAACTTCTGGTTTTGATATCTCATGATCCAGACATGCTAGGGTGACGAAATTTGGATGGTAGATAGCTCTTGTGCTGGGGATGAAGTGACATGAGTTTGAGCCCCCTAGTTGCTTGCTCTAGAACTGCAGGGGGGGTTTAATGGACAAATGTTTAAAGGGGGATAACTCAAGAACCGATTGATGGATCAGCGTGATTTTTGGTATGTAGGTAGCTTGAGTGATGCTTGACATAATGATATTACAATTATGGAAATATGGATGTAATTTGCATAATTAATGAGGAAATTCTATTTATCAGCTGCATTCCATACTAGGAAGTTCAAGCTTGTGACATATGTTATTAAGAATGAGAGAAACACAGGCAGATATCAATTATGCAAATGAAGACTTAATTTGCATAATTAATGAGAAAATATTATAATTGCATAGTGGTAACTGCCTGGAATTTTATACTTGGGGTGTTTGAAAGTTAAGTTAAGGTGAACATAATTAAACATAACTTATTCAAATAAGGACCTCATTTGCATAATTTATGAGAAAATGTCATGGCATTCTTTGTTAAGATAAGACTGTCTTTTGGTGGAGAAAAGATCAACAGATATAATTCATGCAATTGATGATCCTATTTGCATAATTAGGGGGATTAATATATAATTTCTTAATCATAAAAGCTAACATCATTTGGCGAAGGTATGAGATCGTGGAACTCTAGTTTTCTCTTCTTTAGTGTCCTTTAGGGAAGTCAGTCTACAACCTAACCTAACCTATCAGAGGCCAGGGCAGGGTATTTCAGGATCCTCAGAAGTCATCATGTCTTCAAATTTAGCAGAGAGAGTACGGAGAAGTAAAATAAGTTTTGATGTACAATGTCACCACGATTCTACAACTGCTCACTCTATCTGTGTATCTCGGCTGAATTAAAGGGCCGGGTGATAATGTTTGGCTTCAATATGACTTAGAGATACTCTGCCACCTGATAGGCTAGGTAGATCTATACGGTAACCACTGTGAAGGACTTTCATATATATAGAAGAGGAAATTTTGGCGCTTCGCTGCTCAGTCGATCGGTTCTATGCCGCCATGTTGATGACGTAGGCACGCTCCTGTGTATGCAAATGTGCTATGCAATGTATGCAAGTGTGTATATATAATGTAGAACTGCACTGTTTTTATGTTATGTTAAAATTAATATACAGTCTACTTTTTCATTCTATGTTGCTATATTTTGATTGACATATATGAAAGTTTTCAAGAGAAATGACACTTTTTTTTTTGCTTATGGTAGGGGGGATCTTATTGGCGGTTCTCCGGCCGTCAGCCAGACAATGGGTACCCAAAGCCAATCAGGGAAGGGTTTAAAGGCGTCCCAGATAACATCGATGCAGCCTTTCAGTGGTCAGGCAACGGAAAAATCTACTTCACAAAAGGTAAACCCTTTTCACTTTTCTTCTTGTGGCTGTAAAAGCATCCAGCGGACTGGTATTCTATAGTAAGGTAATTTAAGATTATCTTTGCAAAAATAATGCAGATCCAACATCAAGATAAAAAATGTATACATATACCAGAAATGTAAAAGAAAGCCATAAATCACAATCACAAATTTATTGTGTGGAAGTCATAAACGTTTTTTTTATTACAGTATACGTCTTCATATGTACTGTTTCTTGAAAAAAAGTTGATCTATATTATTTCTTGGCCCGACGTTTAATGGGCAATTGATCTCAATTGAGGGAAAACTATTGATACATATTGAATGTTTCTGGTTTCCTCCGCGTATTCACTTCGTCATTTTCAACAGATGATTTTTAATGTGCAAATAAACAATATGCAAAAGCCGGTATGTTGACCTTGAAACGTGACCTTGACAAGGAACACCTGTTTCACCCTAGCCTCCACTGTGTTGGAAAGCACAAAAAATGATTTTATGAATAATTACTTGGTGTTGGTCAGGTAAAGTTTAACTTTTATCATAATGTTATATAGCAACACAGATGAACTTTCATGCTAATATATGAATAAATAGATCAAAATTATTTTGTCAAACTTCAAATCCACAGTAAGGCAAACAAATGACAATGTGATCAGATACTAAAGTAATCTATCGAAATTGTTTTTGCATAACGGTTTCGCCCCCCTCCCCCACCAGGTGACAAGTACTACCGTTATGATTTTGAAACCGGAGTGAACACCGCCATGTACCCACAAAGCCTTTCGCGATGGACTGGGTTGCCTACCGCCAAAGTGGACGCCGCATTCCAATGGATCAATGGGAAGACGTACTTTTTTAAGGTAAGGAGATTCTTAATCAGTCATTGACCTTGATCGTTGACCTAGACCAGAATGTACCTCGTGCGCATGCGCACTCGCAAGGAACTAAATGACTGCTCATGGCCGCACAACACAGTATTTATGGGCGAACCCCGTGGTCAAAAGTAGTCCGGACACAACGTAGTGCTGCACAATACTAGAGAAGGGTGCAGAAATTGTTCTGTGCATGGTATCGAGATAGAACCTGTGGTAAATGTTAGAGTAATACGTCAGTTTTGAGACTGTAAAAGTTGAATTATGGTGCGTGTTCAGTCGGCGTAGATTTGCGCTTGGATACTTGTCCCGCCTTATACTGTGCGTCGGCTGCAGTTCCATGACCTCCGCAGTTTCGCTAATAAAAGAGGGCATGAGAAGAGAACTAGCCGACAAATCTAAGCTCATTTTCACATATTTTGTACACTATACCCTGAAATTAAACATATCAAAATTCTTGCTTTGCTTGTGCACCCTACTATGATTTTCAGTGAGTCGACCTGAGTCACTTTGGGGTCCTTGACTATAGAAATCCCCATCATGAGGGCTAATACTGTGTTGTGCCGCCATGATGGCTTATCATAGAGACTATCTTTTCTAAACAGAGAAAGAAATATCAATATCTGCTTATTTCTGCGTTGATATCATAATTCTACAGGCGCATAAGACCTGGCTGTTTGATGATCTCACCATGGAAGTGAATGCATTTTACCCACAATTCACCTCAACTGCCTGGTTCGGCTGCCGGCGGGGAGGAGGCGGAGGCCCCCCGAATCGTTCTGATTGGATAAGAGGACAGCCAATCATCGTTGTCGTATCTCTGGTCATTTTGCAGATGTCTGTAATGTTGTCGGCTTGATATACATCCTATTACATCGATTTCTGTCAAAAGTTGAGCCAAAGATTTAAGTTGCTAAGTGCTAAGAAAAATTTCAAAGTTAGTAGTATATCGGCTATTATAAAAATATCGGTGAGCAATATATTTAACAGGAAAAGAAACCAACATCAACTTGGAAGATGTTTTGTATCTTTAGATTGTCTCGTTTTGTTCATGTCTTGTATTAGACTTAGAACTTTCGTATTTAGACGTAACACTACTTTTTTGTTCGAAATGCCATATTGTTTTTGTCACGTCATGTTAAGGTCTGGTGTTGTATTATAAGAAATATATTGTAAGAAATATAAAGTATTTTTTGTATATAGTCACCTGCGATGGCACCTACGGATTGCTGGTATTTCGATGAAGCTTAACAAGGAAGAATAACTATATATAATAGCTTTATTTGAATGTAATCTATATCTTCCTGGTGATCTTCAAGTGCTTTGGTCAGCGGTTGATATGTTGAAGTGGAATTTCATTAGTTAGTTTTATTGAATAAAATTTTGGAAGACAAAATACTTGGCTACTTGGTGTTAACATGCCGACCTTGTCGAGCCACGCTATCTGGAGGACATGTAGACTGCTAAAGCCCCTGTCACACATTCAGAACCTTCCCCGACCACCAACCAAGCAAAGTTGACTGAAGTTTGAATTGGGGGAGCCGTCTGACCAGATTTAGTCGACGCCCATTTTTCTATACACATTTTGTACACATATTGAGTTAAATTTGAGTCAAAGTTGACTCCTGAACATGCCCCGAACATTGCTAACCTACTCCCGAACATTAGCTAACCACCTGCCACACACAAGCATGCCCGAACCTCTGTTTCACAACCATTTTGAAACACTTGGCTGGTGCGGCGGACACGTAGCCCCCCCCCCCTCCCTATCTGTATCTGTATAGCCGGTATAACCGCCTTTCGGCGTAACACACCAGCTTCGCAGGCACGCGGCGCGGCGGCAGCTGGCTATATTACACCGATCGACTTGTTACACCTAACCCTTGAACTTCTAGCTCTAGACATTGTTTAAAGCTATCTATTGACAATGCCCCTACTGTACTTGGTGACAGTGAGTTCCATTCTGCGATAGTTCAAGGAAAGAATGAATTCTTGAACACCTCAATCCTTGGCTGATAACTCTGGTACTTGAATGCATGGCTATTTCTTGTTCTCTTCTGGGCTGGTATTAGGTACTTAGTAGTTGTGACATCCACCAAACTATGCATAGCATTAGATTGGTATAGTTTACAAGTGATCGTGGTATTGTAAGCTAGTAAACTATCGAGGGACAAGTGTTGCAAAATTACACACACACACAACTCGTGCGCACCACACACACATAGCATACAAAACACACACACACAGAGCGTACAACACACACACACAGAACATGCAACACACACACACACATAGTATACCACACACACACATACACGCACACACACGTACACGCACACACGCACTCAAACACCTGCCAACCACAGCCGACCTTGCCCCCGACCTACTACCAACCATGGGTAGTGGGACATCGGCAGTGTTAGACCATATCTGGAGCATATGTGACAGGGGCTTAACCTGTTGACCAGGAAACGGCCCTACATGTATGCTAATAAACCACACGGTATGTCACTGCACTGAATTACACTCAAGTAGTATCAATCAATCAATAGTTTGTGCTTATTAACCTGCATTTCCCCTCTGGTCTCCCAGTCACTGACGAAAGCTAGTGGATACTAGCTGAAACGTCTGACCGTTCCCAAAATCATATCCAGTTGCTTGAGTAACTGCTTTTTGGCGTATCATATTACCTGGATGTCTAACCTTCATCGACGTACACTCAAGTAGATTTATAAAGCGACCACTTCAAGGCTTGTCCCGACTTTTTTTATGGCAGCCACTCGAAGCTTTTTATGACTGGTCCCACAGGAAGTTAGGAATTCTAATGTGTACGTTTGATTTAATTGCAGATATTTGTCATACTTTCATATCTTTCTATAACAAACAGCTTGTTTCTACCAGGTCTACAGTTTTTCGGGAGACTTATATTACCATGTACTGTCACAATAATGATGGCATCTATTTGTGGTTTCAACAGCAAAAACAAAACAGTATACTGTAGTTTCTACCAAGATTAAAACGCGGTTTGGAAAATGACAAATTTAACCAAATAGTTTGGCTTCCATACAGTTCATTTTCCCACACGATTCTAGGGGAAATGTCACCTACATGAAGTCAGTTCTTGTCCCTACTTTTGTCGAATCTTACTATAAAAAGTAACCTTTTAGGAAGGCCTGGTGAGGGCTAACATGACTGCTTGGTAGCCTGTGTTACACAAGCTCTCGGCCGGAGGTTAATGACCGCGACAACTTCGGGGCGGCCGGCCGCCAGGAGCGCGATTAGTCAGGCTAGACTGCTTGGCTGTACAACATTGTCTTCGGATATATATATGTCTTTGGGAAAAGAAGTTCCGAATTACTTTTCACTGCACATACACTTGCACCGAATCTATCATGTACACATACGCCTTCATATTATTTGGTGCTGAGCTTGTACGTGTGTGGTTATCGGTATCAATAGTCAGGTTACGTTCAAGGTTCAAGTGAGGTTACGCTTTAGCGTTATAAAAGTGATACGGTAAAACTATGCCTTTTTATAACTGAACAAGTTTCCACCATCCATGCAGCAGATCTATTGCAAGAGATCTCTACTCGTGTTTGTTTGTGTGTTTGTTTTGGTGTGCTACCCTGCAGGATCAAACACAAAACGACTAGCTTACAATACTACGATTACTTGTAAACTATACCAATCTAATACTATGCATAGTTTGTTTGTTTCGTATAACCGGTAAACCACCAGTTTTGTACATGTAAGTACAAGCTACGTAAGACGGGACTGTGAGGTTTGAACAACTCACAACCCCTACTCTTTTCGATAAGTGCGGTGGGTTCTTTTAACGTGCGTGGGGTGTGGCTCTCCCCAAACAGGGAACCTCTACCAAAACTAGGTGCTCATTTACACCTGAGTGAAGTGAGGAAAGTCGTTTTAAATTCCTTTCCCAAGGGCACTAGATCTGTGACAAGGTGGGATTCGAACCCGGGACCCCTTGGTTCCGAGCCGAGGACGCTACCGCTACGCCACACGACCCCACACTTTCTTGGTATCTCCTTGAAAACCCGATACTTACTTCACACCCTAAAAGTTTTTAATGTAATATCAGTACTTTTCTATTGACCACATGTGGCCGGTCATTCTCTTTCCTTTATGGATACAATTTATGGTCATCGCTAAGAGGACCTCCCACTTACATCAAGTGTCCATGCCCCAATTATTTCAAGTGTTACTGACCACACAGGTCAGGCGACCAGGGCGCTAGGAGGCCAAACACCACTGAGATGGCCGTCCTACAAAAACAACCAGCCTCTACCAGGCTTCGGGGGACGGCTGGAACCTCGAGTAGAAATCGGTCAAATAGAGATATAACATGCCGAGGGAGTTGGTCTGCGCTTAAGAGTACATTTTGCCGCACTCGAACTCTCCAGCAGACCAACTCTCCCGGCATGTTATCTCTCTATTTGACTCGAGCCCTGAAAGAGGCTAAGAAAAGTAGAATTCAGCAAAAATAGGGCCCGACTGGCCAGGGGATCCACCGTTATGACTTCTTGTTCCCCTCGGAAGCGGTGGCTAAATACGCTTCCCTGACCACGTACCATTTTCTCAACTTGATTTTATTGTTTTTGAACCTGAGTTGCTGAGTTGCTAAAACAACAACGAACAAGCACATGCGAGGAAAAAATAACCCCAATGCATCTATTAGTACTCACTGTTTTGTATTGGAACTTATTTTGTGTGCGGCAAGGCAAATATATTGTATTTTTTTCTATTTATGGGGCGTATGCGGGATGCGACCTAATTACAGACGTAAAATAAAGGGGATCATCCTGTTCACAAAGCAAAAAAAGAACAAACAGCTGTAGTTAGCGAGGATGTTGATAGGGGTCTAACCTTTAAGATTGTGTTCACACAACAGCTACAATTTGTACATGTAACTAAGAAAAAAAATAAGGTCGCACTTTAAAGGGTCAAGGTAGCTGAATACTTTAAATGTATTGCAACCGACACGTCTACTATACAATGTCGCTCTTAAGCGTCGTAAAATGTGGAGAGGGTTATAAAATATAACTCAAGGGGCCCGCGCTTGAGTGAATTATTTGTCTACCTTTTTCAACAGTCTGCCACTGGGCTTGGTCAGAAGTTTGGCATGTAAATCTCCACGCCCCTCCCCCTTCACCTGAAGTGACCAAACCTTTTCTTTCTAACATGTGGTCTACGCACTCTGCTTATTTGTCGATACAAAGAAAGCTTTGGACAGACCGGGTATTCAAATTTCACGCTTCGGTGAATGTGTAAAATTTGTTCTACAGGACACGTTAAACAAGGGAGTTTGACTGAGCGGTTGGGTTAGGTCCCTGACAGGTTACATAGGGCCAAATATACACAGCCAGCGTCCGCAAACACGTACGGCGGCTGCCTTCATCAAGTGACGTTTTTATGAACAGTGTGCACCCAAGAATTCAACTGCGACGCAAATGACTTTAATGCACGCTCGACCATTTCAGTGACAGGTCAGGCGATGTCAATCTTCACTCTGATTGGCCAGCACGAGGGGCGTGGATAATTAGTTTAGTATATGTTGTTATGATGCTGCAATATAAACCCCCTTCGCGTAGATCGATCCTTCTTCTTGCCTCAAGAAATTCTTAACGTCTTGCAATTCCCGCGAAAACGTCTTGGTCTTCAAGCAACTTCTTTTGGCAAGAATCATTCGAAAAGGTACGTTGGTTGTCATATTATCTAGTTGAGAAAAAGAAATTATTAGATGACATGCATGTATGAAGTTATAGATATTTTAGCAAAAGGCAGTTCACATGGATAGAGAATTACAGTTGACAGTATTGTCTGTTTTTAGTTCAGCTCCATTGCATATCATTAGACACAAAGTGTTTTTGTAACTGACATTTATAGTAACATTCTCCCAATGGTTGCTCTTTGAAGTATCAAAATACAAAACATTGTAACTACTTTGATGGGTCTTTACATTTTACAAAGCGTCGCCTAGAGTATAAACATGCTATAATTCTTCAGAGCAAACTGTGTTTTGACTCCAAGCGTGTAGACGTTTCGTATTTAAGGCAACCTAAAGGCGATTGTTTCTGTATTTTGCATGTACATGTGTATGAAGAAAGAACGTAAAGAAAGCAACCTGTCTCAAGGATTTGAAGACGCTACTCTGCCATAATTTAAACAAAAAACGCTTCACTGTCTTAAGGATGGTTGAAACATTTCATAACGTCGGTACCAGCAAAACGTTTGCCACCCTTTTCTCGTTTCTAAACCATAGGCGCTGAGGCATTTTCGATTAATTAGCTATACTTTTGTCTCAACAACCATTTTCTGTCACCCACATTGTTCCGTCGTTTTTCGAAAGTCGTAATTTTTTTTAACAGTGTTTTTTTTTACATCATTTCGAACTATTTCTACTATTTACCCTGGTGTGTTACGCCGAAAGGCGGTTATACCGGCTATACAGATACAGATAAAGATACCCCCGCTTGTCATGTTCTGACGGCCGCCTTAGTTTCTGTCATTTCGAACAGAAATATTCCTATTCCCCCCATCATTTCTAAATTTCTAACAGCCGTACTTTAAAACTATTTGACTCCATAACATCAGCTTTATAATCCTCGAATTCGTGGCCTGACTTTTTATGTGGTCCTGCTATGTCTGCTCTTTTCTGATTGTCTATCGGTACGATAATCTCCAAGGAGAGCTCTAAGGAGGCATTCCCCTAATCTCCAAGCAGATGCCTATCGGCGGCAAAACACAGTATCCATTAGCCATAGGAGTTTAGCTCGCCAAGCAGATCCCTATCGGTGGCGAGCTAAACTCCTATGGCTAATGGATACTGTCTTTTGCCACCGATAGGGATCTGCTTGGAGATTAGCTTTCCCCTACAATGCCTTGCCCCCGGCCTGAATTTATCTGCTTGAAAATTACTCTATATACATGTATCTATATTACAATATTGGTACCGGTATTCTGGTTGGTACGGTTTTCTTGATAGCCGTCGAGGCTGAAGGCTACTATTTACCCTCGCTTGTCATGTTCTGACCGCCGCCTTATTTTCTGTCAGGGGTCTCCCTCGGTCATCTACTGTTCCCTTCTAGCCTTTCATGCTGTCATGCAATGCAAGCCACCAGAGAAGCTGAATCATACCGTGAAGTCATTTGAAGTGTGCTCGCTTTGTCGATATTGCGTCAGACAGTTCCGTCTACGTGCACTTGAGCACACAGTGGTGTCACAACTGCCAGAAAACGACGACTGACTAAAAATGGTAGCCGTCAGAAAGCGACAGCTTAAAGAAAACGGCAGCCCACAAAAAAAGAGGAGCCATCAGAAAATGCTTAGTCAGAAAATGGCCACTTTCGCCTAATGGCTGCTTGCAAAGAATGATTGTCAGAAAATGATGGTTTCGGTAAAACTGGATAGACAGGGAAACATGCATTAATGGGTTGCAGTGACGCACTTTGTCTACTTTGAAAAATGATGCAAATGAAGCAAACGTTTCTTGGCAAACAATTACCAATTTGGAATGTTTCAAAATGTTTAAAACATTCGGGTGTGGACCAGAGGTTCGGCCATGGTTGGCTTTTGTTCGTAAGTAGGCCGCGGCGTGGTTGGCAGTGAAGTGTGACTCAAATTTAACTCAAATTCGATTTGATTCGTAAAGAAAGGTAGCCGGGGCCTAAACCTGGTCAGACTGCTCCCGAGCTTCAGCCGATCTTGGTTGGTTGGTAGTCGGGAGAGGATTTGAATGTGTGACAGGGCTGGTTCACAGAACAACCTTAAAACGCGCACGGTGGGTCGACTATTTGAGTTTACAATTTAGCCCCTCTACATCGTCAATCTTGCGGCCTGGCGCCAATACTCTTATCCGAGTCATCTTTATGACAGGAAGGTGTTTGTTATATCTGCCTGGCCAAACAAGATGTTTCCTGTACGATTCTTGGTGGAAAGGATTAGGATTCTTCTGATGGAAAAAGTTTCCCGCAGATCCGTGCTTACGGTCGGTTTTGTCAAAGCCTCGCTGAAAATCGTAAGAGCGGTTTACGAGCCACTTCAACTGTCGTCTTAACCACTTCACTTAGCCCCTCCCACTGCAAACAGGCAATGCAACAAGTAGTTTTTATTCTTAACATTCTTCTAAAGATTTAAGTTCTTCTAATAGTGAAGATGTTAAAACTGTCATTACATTTATTTACGACAGCATTGCCGTTCAGAGATAGCTGATAAATTATATATGATATCCCCACAATTTGTTTTGAGTTGATCTTTTGTTTATTTGTTCAGACATCATGAAGAATCCACTGCGATTCATCACGGTCGAGCCTGTGCTGTTGATGTACATGACCGCCACCTTGATGATGACCCCGGTACTGCAGCAGACCATCTACTACAAGCTGTGCTACCAGTTCCACAACGCCACCATCTGCGACAACCTGGGGGACTACAGGTACGTCGGTTGGTTGGTTGGTTGGTTGGTTGGTTGGTTGGTTGGTTGGTTGGTTGGTTGGTTGGTTGGTTGGTTGGTTGGTTGGTTGGTTGGTTGGTTGGTTGGTTGGTTGGATGGATAGATGGATGGATAGATGGTTGGAGGATGAAGAGATGGATGGATGAATGGATAGAGGGATGGATGGAGGGATGGATGGAGGGATGGATGGAGGGATGGAAGGATGGTTGGAGGATGGAGGTAAGGACGGATGAATGAATGAATGAATGGAGGGATGGAAGGATGGTTGGAGGATGGATGGATGGATGGATGGATGGTTGGAAGGATGGTTGGAAGGATGGTTGGAGAATGGATGGATGGATGGATGAATGAATGGAGGGATGGATGGATGGTTGGAGGATGGATGGATGGACGGATGGATGGATGGATGGATGGATGGATGGATGGATGGATGGATGGGATGGGATGGGATGGATGGATGGTTGGTTGGAGGATGGATGGATGGATGGATGGTTGGAGGATGGATGGATGGATGGATGGATGGATGGATGAATGGATGGATCGATCGATCGATCGATGGATGGATGGAAGGATGGATTATTTTACATTTGGGTGTACAAATTACAATGTATGTGTTGTGTTTGTTCAGGCACGTCGAGTACGAAGTCCAGGAGCAGGCGTCGCGATGGTACCTCTACATCACGGTCTGTATCTCTGCACCCGCCATTTTCATCTCTTTCTTCGTGGGCCCGTGGAGTGACAGGGTTGGTCGGCGGCTGCCGATGTGCCTGCCGCCGGTGGGAGGTCTGTTCTACGCCCTGAGTTTCCTGGTACAGTCCCTGGACCAGTTCCTCCTCACCATCCCCGTGGAGTGGACGCTGGTCGGCGCCCTGGCGCAGGGCTTCCTGGGAGGTTACACCGTCATCATCCTCACCACGTACAGCTATCTAGGTGAGTTGTTGGATGGTTAAACTTTTTGGCTACGCCCTAGGAGCGAGCCTAATAACCTACGACGAATGTGACCTCTTTCGCTTATGCTTGTAGTAGATATTTGTACGTCATGAGCTGTATTTTTTACCTGATCGAGTCTCAAATTCATATGCTTGCAGCAGATATTTTTGTTTAACAATACAACTTATTTATAACTTGTATCTGAGCTGACTGAGTCTCAAATTTCAAAAGCTTGCAGTATACTTCCTATATCACAAGTTGTAGTTTAGCTGGTAGGCTCACACTTAGTTTCTCTGAACCATCCAGCCGACGTGACGACCGAAGAGAACCGGACCAGGCGCATGAGTATCCTGACCGCCATGCTGACCATTTCTGAACCTAGCCTGGTTCCCAGTTACCTAGTTTTAAGGCTTTAGCTTGTTTGTCTCTGATCCATCCAGCCGATGTGACAACTGAAGAGAACCGCACCAGGCGCATGAGTATCCTGACCGCCATGCTGACCATCTCCGGCACCATCGGGCTCGGCATCGGCGGCGTCATCGTCGACAACTTCGGCTTCTACGTCGTGTTCGCCATCTGCATGGGTCTGCACGTCATCAACTTCATCTACATCTGGGCACGGCTGAGGGAGAAGAAAAGGGACGAAGACACCCAAGGTTGGAAACGGTCTTGTTTTTTGTTTGCTATCAATTTTGATATGTCTAAAATCGTGTGGTCGTGTGACGCAACGGCAACGTGCTCGACACGGAAGCAAGAGGTCCCGGGTCCCGAGTCCTGACATGCCACCGATCATTTTGCACTTGGGAAAGGCACTTTACACGACTTTCCGCACAGGTGAAAACACGTATTGTCTGCCCAGTATTCGTTTCCTATGTGTGGGACACAACACCAGCAACAGCTGCCTGTGTCCCACGTGTATTGTACTGTTGCAATTTTTAATAAATCAAATCAAAATCACCTCAGTTATATATCAATTCATTGATCCCAATATCCTTCCCATATATCAAATTATAGTGTTTGTATGAATATCTGTTGACTATGCGGATCTCAATGTAAAATGGAGTAGTGCTACCTGAAACGTCTATCGAGTTGCTTGAGTAACTATTATTTCGGCATCCTGTTACCTGTGATGCAAAATGTTGATAAAGTTATGAAAATATGATTTTCCCAAAGATGTATTTAACACATTACAATTGAAGTACTATATAGTTAAACCACAGTGTTTAAAGCATGTACAGAGACTATTCTACTCTACAGCTCTGAGTCATGGGCTATGAATGCTGCCCAGAGCAAGAAACTGGACGGTACATATACAAGAATGTTAAGAACAGTGTATAATGTTTCATGGAGACAACATCTAACAAACAAACAACTCTATGGCTCTCTCCCGCCCATTTCATCTATAGTCCGACGACGTAGACTCGCCCTGGCAGGGCATGTTGTTCGTAGTAACGAACCAGCTGGTAGACTAGTACAGTGGCAGAGTGGGACGTCCTTATATACTACACTTTTGTCCATGTTAGAGAGAGACACTGGTCTCACAGGGACTGCATTAGTGTCCGCTATCAGAGAAAGGACATACTGGAGTAACTTTATCAAGTGTACCTCACTGGATTAGTATAATCCGGAGGCATGATGATGATGATGATGAAACCACAGTAAAAGTTAGGCTGCAATATAATAAACTTGTAATCCATCATTCTAGGATCATGTGCAGGATGTTTAGATGCGGTGAGTCAATGACAGACGTATCTAATGATACTTTCTTCGTTCTGTTGCGGTTTGCAGTGGTGCACACTAAGGTTGACTGTGGTTACGTGATGAACACACTGAAGGTGGTCACCAAGACTCGCCCCAACAACGGCCGTCTTCATCTCATCCTGCTCTTCTCGTGCCTCTTCATCTACGCTCTCTGCAACACAGGTGAGGAGATAGACTTGCAGATTCACTCGGTCATCTTGTCAACCTTAATGATATGTCAGATAATGCTAAATTGCACTTTATTCTTAGAGGCTCCAAATTCTTACCCTTTATGTACAACTTTAAAACGATGCAACTCACTCAGATTTACATTGGAGATACCAAGCGCTTCTAGCTCTGCTTGACTGTTTCTAACAGTCAATTAGATATAGAAGTCCAAATACTACGTAAGTGTTAATGGGCCTAAATTCTCCTCATAGCTCTGATTGGCGGATGTTTTTCCGCCAATGATATATAGGAGGTTATCACGTAATGTTATCTAATCTTTCAAGTAGCTTTTTTAGCATATGATTTAACATTTTAATGTCTTGGCGTTGTGGGACTATGGCGCACAGATATGTGAACTTTGTATATTTAAATTTTAATTGTATTTTGTTGTGTGACGCTGTTAGTATGAGTTGTAAACTTGAGTGCAGCGTCACACTGTCCTTGTTATGTTTTCATGTTTTGATGAAAAAAAAAAGATAGAGAGACATCTTTAGAAAAATTATCGTGTCCAGTACTATGTCTATCTAGTTCTATGCCTGAAAGGTTAGAGTTAAAATCAGGCATGGCTCTGGATAGTCTCCGTGTATCAAAGAGCGTAGATTTGTCCCAGACAAGGTTCTGGATAAGCGCTCACTATCCATTACCTAGCCTAGGCATGTGTCCGAATACTGTTCTGAAATCTGAATACATTGGCACCTAGAAAACGTGCTCTAGAGCAAGCCATTTACAAAAACTGGTGTTCTTTGTAATAGCTTGCTGTAGCGCACGTTTTCTAGGTGTATATATGTGTGATCATGGATCATTCCCTGTGTGAGTGGATCCAGCCTTACGGCCCGGTGCTACAAAGTCTTAAGTTTACTTACAGTTAAGCTATTGAGAAAATAGAAAAGCCTACGAAACATGCCAATTATAGAATGAAAGTGTTGCGTCAATGTCGGCTGACAGGTCACGGGTATTGTTGGTGTTAAATATAGCGTGACGAGGAGACATCGCCTGTCCAGCTGGTCGGATTAAAAAAGAAAACCTTCACGTCAAAGAAAAAATATTGGCCCAATCCGCCCAACCGGTGTCTAACTGTTTATAATGTGCACCTGACCAAAACCATTACAAAGAACCTGTCTAGTCTAGGTTGACAAATAGTGGAGTATTTGATCCTCGTCTTGAATGCGTTTTTCATTTCCTAAATGTATTGTGTTCTGGAACTGAATCCAAAGCACACAGTTCGTTTTCCTTGTCAATGCTTTGCAAATACCGTTTTGATTGCCGAAGGAGTTAGTTGCTGTAACAGGTGAGAGAGAGCTAACTGTGTTCAACAAAATTCTCCAGATAACCTACAGGACAAATGCCATTTTTCTAAAAATGGGCGTGGCCTCATAACTATTGATGTCTTCATCGTGACGTCATAACAAATTGCATAAATTATCATCTTGCAACAAGACACTTCGTGTCAAAAATTCAAGGTCCGTACTTAACTGCAACATGTACTTTTAGAACACTCAAAAAGTCCTCAGGGTGGGTTATTTAGTACTTAACACGTGTTGCTGAAGGTAAATAAAAATAGTAACTACGGTCAAATGTCTTTCTTGTTTGTAAACATTTACTTAACAGTATGATCAAACTCTGCTCTCCAAATTCCATATGTATTGACAACACAAAATTTCACAACGATTGTGGCAGCTACAATGTATTTCAAAACTATTCTGAAACCTAAAATAACAACCCAACCGAAGTTATATTATTAGGTACCCATTCACATCACCTGAACACCTGGGTGGAGTGAGAAAATAGTCGTGAAAAGTGCCCTTCCCAAGGGCACAACGTCGGGGCGCATGTTTAGACATGTCCCAGGTACAAGTCGGGATCGAACCCGGGTCTCCCCGTTTCATAGTCGAACGCTCTACCACTACACTAACCGACGCCACAACGTAACTTTCTCAAATCTTACACCTGTTTACATGTTTACCCTGTAGGTGTGAATGAGATCGCCATCTTGTTCACGAAGCGTGTAGAGATCGACATGAGTAACTCTAACTACGGGTACTGGCAGGCCGCCCGCAACCTGGTCCCTGCGCTGTTCCTCATGCTGCTGCTGCCACTTTGTTCAAGGTTTGTACCGAAAATAAAACTGCATCCGCTGTTTGTTATAATAAACTACCAACCGGTGGTATTGTTACTATTGTGGTTTTAACCAAATGCTACCCAGTAAGGCCACAATGCCTTAATTTTATGGATGACATCCGCGCGCGCATTGATTTTCGCCTCTTCTCAAAGAAAAAAAAAAGATCACGTTCACCGAGGCTCTAGCCTGGCTCTAGGCCTGGGTAGTCCATGGTAGCTAGCGACAATACGGAGGCGGGCATTCAGGCTACCGAAGCTCCACGCCTCAAGAACTCAGTATATACGTACAGTGCCGATTCATAAATTCCGCAGAGAGCCAGCATGTGCCGGCTTGTCATATACGTCGCTATGTACTGCCGCAAATTCACAACACCAGCTTTGTATTCCTGTGGTTTAGTACCATTTTTATTTTTGGCCGGAATTTTTTTTATTCGCCGGCGCGCACTAGTTTGGGCGTCTTCGGAGGATGTGATCCATAAAATTAAGGCGGTGTGGCCTAATAAGCACAATGGCTACCAAATTTAGTATAGTGGAATTTCCAGACGGGAACCATGCTGCCTAGGAGGTGTGCATATAGCTATTGAACCTCCTCGGTGTTAGAGAGACTATGGTGGTTTAAACTTGTTAACGGTTAGGTTGACTTTAAGATATAGTATACAATCTCTCACAAAGTTCATAGTTGTTTTATTCGTACATTTGTAGACAATTCTGCTGATCTTATTCCTATGGACTTTATAAAATCCTGGTATCCAAACTTAATATAGTATGCCTAGTCTCGTATTTGCCGAAAAGACTAACAAAACTCGGCAACAGCATTGGTTTGGATACCAGGCTATAGCTTTAAAAGATATGTATCACTTTTGATCAATTGCTTGCTTACGTCACGTGTCAGTAAAGTCTCGTGTGAATAAGGTCACGTGTTTGTAAACCGTAACTCTCGCGAGATCACGTTGTGAAGTGATTGGTCATTAATTATCCTGATGAAGGTGACAGTGGTCGCTGAAAATTTGATCTCTGTAAACTGTGTGTTGGAATAAAGTTTGACGTTTTACGATGATTACTACCAACACAGATGAACTTTCATGATAAGATATGTATCAATTTGAATGTTATTCTCCGAAATATATGTTATTAACAACAAGTTTGATTTCTGTGCAGGTGGCTCTCTGACAATTCTCTGGCTGCGATCGGCGCAGTGTCCAGTGTCGGCATGTTTGAACTGATGGCCCTGTCCGTCAATGAAGCCATGCTGTGGGGAAGTGAGTGACTTTCTGTTGGGTTTCGGATCATTTTTGACGTGTTTTTAGACTTTTTTATCGGGGTTTCTTTTTTGCATTGGAATTTTTGGCGGTTTGCGTAAAAAAAATTCCAGTGCAAAAAAGAAATCCCAATAAAAAAAGCCTTAAAACACGCCAAAAATAAGCCAAATAGCAAACCTCTGCTTGGAGAGTACATCTGGTCCTGTTGGCTGTACTGTTGACAAGCGTTTGTTTGTGCGACGTCCAGCAAATAAGAAACGTTATTACAGTTCCTGGCGCTTGCGCAAACAAGGCGTTTGTCCATTGGTGAGCCCAGATGCAACATGTTTAATCTCCAAGCAGATGCAAGGATCTGGCTTAGTGGTTTCTCATGTTTTTTAAAACAATTTATTACGTCTTTGTTGTAAGGCAGCTTTTAAATCTTTGTACATGAAAAATACTGAGATCAAGTCAGATTCTAACATCTGCTTCAGGATTAATACATTTCTGGATTCCGCTTTACTAATGATGATGATGATAATCATGATGTTCGTCGATCATAGTCGATGACGACCCCAACTTCAGTACTAAGAAATGTGATAATATACTACTAGTGTTAGAGTCTGTGTATATATTAGGTAACAAGTTCTACGTTAAGTTATACGTTTTAACGTGTTAGAAAAATGACTCAAGACAAAATATACTATTTCTTTTTAATTATAGCTGTAGCAGTGGGCGCGTTTAACGGATTCCTGAATGGAGTCCTGCACGGTACTATGTCCAAGATTGTGTCAGACGACGAACAAGGTTTGTTTCCATTTTTATGATTCAAGTGTTCTGAAAAGTCTTGAAAGTAGCTCAAAATTTACAAGATGCCGAGAATGTCAAAGTGAAAAGAGCAGCTGTGTAGAATTATGTACTTGAAGTAAAATGAGAAATAAAACGAGTCATAAATTTTTCCAATACATGCATAGATAAACTGCACAAAATCTAAGATTTCATTTTCTTCGGGATTTCATGGGAGTGTGTTTCTTTTACCAAGAGCCACCATGTGAATGTAGGTCCAATGAGTTAGATAACATCTAGCAGCAAATGTACCAAAATAGGTTCTTAATCTTGTGTCTATCCAAGACATTAGTGTGCCAGCACCCATTTTCCAACACCGGACCAGTTTTACTAACCAGCGAGTAAATTAAAATTATTGAAATCAGGAATATAACGGTCCCTCCTACGTAATTCCAGCAGGGCTCGAAATACTGGGTGGTGCGTGTGCACCTTCGAATAATTTCATAGGTTTAACGTAATGTAAAGATGTTAAATGTATAGTAGTTACAGCATATTCTTAACATCTAAGTGTCAGAAGAACAATAAAATCATTGTTATAGTAATTTTCTTAAAATGAAAGATAATTATAGTTTCTGCTGACATTCGACTTATTTTATCTTATATGGTGCACCTAAGATATTTTTGTGCACCCACTTTTTAGATTGGGTGCACCAGTGCACCTATTCCCAAAAATGAATTTCGAGCCTTGTTCCAGGTTCGATGTTCTCCATCCTGTCCATGCTGGAGACCGTGACGGTGGTGGTGTCAGCCTTCATCTTCAACAACATCTACCCGGTCACCCTGCCCACCTTCGCCGGCTTCCCCTTCATGCTCATGGCCATCATGTTCTTGGTGTCGCTCGTCTTCGTAGTGTAAGTTTTTAGCAATATAATTAAACACAGCACACGACGCCCGCATCAGCTTAGCCTCTACCAGGCTTTGGGAGGCGGTCGGAAAGAGTAGAAATCGGCAGTCCAGTTTCCCGCACCCGAAGCCTGTGCGGGGTCGGCAAACTGTACTCTCTAGCGGACAAACTCTCATGGCATGTTATCTTTCTATTTGGCCGATTTCTACTCTTTCCAGCCGCCTTCCGAAGCCTGGTAGAGATAGCTAGTATCAGCTAGCAATTGTCTAGTGCCTACATTGTCTTGTCTTGTCGCAACCCCAATAAAGTACAGCGCGTTTTAGTAATGATAGAACCCCCTGAACGAACTCCATCTAAACTTATCTCCAATTCTTTTCGGGGCTGGAAGACAGCATCAGAGTGGCAAGACATGTAAATTGGAAGGACAGTGTCCATTTGCCTGGCGTAAAAGAAAGATACCAGTACAAAAAGAAAACCGTAAAAATGTTTAAAAGCACGTCGAAAATAAGTCGCAGCCTAAACATCTGCCTGGAGCACTTTTAAAGTATATTGTTATGCTTTTGAAGAGACCTGTACTGGTAGTAGTTGAGTATGATGCAACAGTTGATGATTGGTATGATGCAACAGTTGATGATTGGTATGATGCAACAGTTGATGATTGGTATGATGCAACAGTTGATGATTGGTATGATGCAACAGTTGATGATTGGTATGATGCAACAGCTCAAAAAATCACCGAGACATGTTAAATCTCGCGAGATTTCGCGAGAAAATTAATAAAAGGACAAGCAGTATTCTGATAAACAATAGCATAATTGTGGCACAATCCAAGCACGTATTTTACTTTGAATCTTCTGTTTCTTACCAGCTGGATCGAGTTGTCCACCCCTGCTACTACCAAGAAGGTCAGCACTGCCGCTACAGCACCGGACATTCAGCTCCGGGAGAGGGCAGCGTCCATGCGGTCAATAGCCAGTACTAGTGGGTGATTGCTTACAGTATGTTGTAATGGACTGATAACTGAACGCATGTAAAACATACACGTCAGTGGCGCAACGGTTAGAGCGTTGGACTCGGAACCGTGACCCGACGCTGTGCCCTTGGGAAAGGCAGTTAAATTTACACGACTTCCCCACCTATACGGTGGAGTGACGCCCACCGAGCCTCTTAGGCTAATTGTCTAACTGGGTGCCAAAAACACCCTACGGATTTGGTGCGCCGATGTGACAACATCTGCACATTGGCCACTGAGAGCCGTGAAATTCATTTTTAGGACACAGACAGACATTTTGTTCCAAGCGTTTGTTTTATATTTTAGACACATTGTAACGTTATAGACTTGTGATTCTGCACGACTTAGAACTGATCAACTGTTTGGTTCCTTGATTGGTTGATTTTAAGTACTATAGTACTGTTCTTTGAGCTCAATTTATAAAGATATAAAGCAATGTATGTATATATTTCATACACTGGAAGGTACAGTAATTTGAACAGGTAGATTGCTGTAGTATGATACTGCACTGCAATGTTGTAAAATATACATTGTATGCTACTGTTTTAATAGAAACTAAGCAGCACCCAAACTATAGTTTTCATATTATTTGTCGTCGAAACCACGACCTCACTTGTATTTTTACGTCTCAGGATATACTTATATAGCTACACACACATATATATACCTGTAAATACACTGACTTAGATATTTTCAACTGATCGTAAACCGAAATCAAAATGTCCGTTTTTAATGCTGAAGGTGTATGGTAGTTGTTAACGTTACATACATTTATGTCTGGTTTATAAGAATACATTGTTTAGTACGGTTCAATTTTAAAACACGTCTAAGTAAGAAGCCGTGTACCCATTTAGGTACAGGCAATTATAGTAGCATAAATTTATCAATTATCACTACTATTCAGGTATTTTCTATGTTTTTGTTATATACATGTATCTATATCCACCACGCAGTATTGTTGCTTTTTGGATAGCCTTAGTGCGTTAATTTGTGAGTACTTTATCATAGAACTATCATCACTTCATTGCAATGATACTTGTTTATGAATAAGGCCATGTTGATATGATTATATGGATGACATCCTCTGGGAACCCCAAAACTGATGCGAGCGTGCGAATAAAAACAAGTTTTGCAAAAAAAAAAGTTGCTTTCACTATGAAATCTACGTGGTCATGAAGGTTGAACAAATGGCACAGAATATGTTATGGCGAATAATCTACTCTTCGAATTCATTTCTTTACATTTTTGTCTTTTTTCCTTTGATTTTGACATTCTACGACATTGGTATCGTTTCTAAATGTTTTGCAACTTATGGTATATTTTTGCTCATTTAGCAGCTGTTTTGCATGATTTACAGTATGGTTGAAAACTTTTTTTTTTGAAATGGCCGAAAATTCATGCGCGCGCGGATGTCATCCATATAATCAAATCAACATGGCCTAACTAGTAAATTCTGTTAAAAATTGGTGAGCAAGGACTAAAAAGAGTCTTGTTGTCGGCATGCTATCGTAGCCTGCATGTTATCATATCTAGTTCACCAGGGCTGCCTCCTTTGTATACTCACTTCCTTACGTCGAGTAAGCCTTTTAGAGAGCCCCTGTTGTATACAGAACAGTGCCTATCTACCTCTATGCCTGAACGGGTTGGTTTAGGATCAGGCACGGTTCTGGATGGTACCCGCGTCTCCAAAAACGTAGACGATTCTGAATACATACAAAAGATACAAGATACAAGATGACTTTATCCGCTTTCGCAGTGTGAATGGCACTGAATTAAAGTCGAATTTGCATGTACTAAAAATCTCAGATAAAAACAGTTGAAGTGGCTAAAATATTGTCGTTTTAAAATAGACGCAGTTGAATAATATAGCTGGCTATAGATATTTACAAACAATGCAAGTTAAGATTTCATGTCAGACAAAGCTATGCGTTGACTATCCATAACAATGTGCCTGAGTATGGTTGTGGATGAAGCACACACGGCCCTGGATACAACAGCCCCTGTAAACTAAAATATCGGATGACATCCAGGCTGTGCTATTGGTCACTCTATAAAACATGTGACCTGCAAATTGTCTAAAACATGAACTCAGCACACACAAGCTTTCTCTCTTTTTTTAAAACGGAATGGTTCAATGCAAGGCCTATGCGACCACTCCTCGGCATTGAACTAGAAATATGACAGAAACATGGCTATGTCAAGAGATGGCGGCGAACGTTTGATTTGAAAGTCTGTAGATTGTAGGTTGGTGGGAAACACTTGTCATGGAGGGAATTCCAAAGCTTGGCCGTAGGGGAAAAGAAACTGTCACTGTAAAAAGATTTTGAACAAGGAATTTGGACGGTGAAGTTGTGTGAGCTAGTGGAGAACCTAGTGGAACGCTTGAAAGTTCTGAGTAGTGGAACTAGTTGGGTGAGTTCTGCAGAGCAATGACCATCTGTATCTGTATCTGTATCTGTATAGCCGGTATAACCGCCTTTCGGCGTAACACACGAGCTTCGCAGGCACGCGGCGCGGCGGCAGCTGGCTATATTACACCGATCGACTTGTTCCACCTAACCCTTGAACTTCTAGCTCTAGACATTGTTTAAAGCTATCTATTGACAGTGTCCCTACTGTACTTGGTGACAGTGAGTTCCACTCTGCGATAGTTCTAGGAAAGAATGAATTCTTGAACACCTCAATCCTTGGTTGATAACTCTGGTGCTTGAATGCGTGGCTATTTCTTGTTCTCTTCTGGGCTGGTATTAGGTACTTAGTAGTTGGGACATCCACCAGTTTATTAGTCATTTTGTACATCATGCATAGTCGAGACATCTTTCTTCTGTCTTCAAGTGAGGTCCACTGTAGGTTTCTTTTCATTTCCGTGACACTAGCACCTCTTACATAGTTGTTCATACAGAATCTTGCAGCTTGATTCTGAAAATATCTCACGTCTGCCAGTTGTTAACCATGTAAACATGCTGTAAATTTTAAGTGCTACTTAAATACCAGTTGACGTTGAGAGGTACTTAGCTTTTTGCGGGAGACTCCGTCCATGTCTGCTTTACATTTTGTCTAAATTTACGATGTAGGCCACTTCTTACTAAATAGCATACTTACGCATAAGCAAAGAGACCGTTAATTTATACTAGCATCACGACATATAGACTCCCAGGTCCTCCTTTGTCAGCTTTGTTACTTTTTACTCGGATTTCTACAACTGGCCATGGAATTCTGAAAAAAAAAGGTATATCCAGTTACTAGTATGCTGTTAAGAGAAAGTGTACCATACCAAGGAGTAATTATAAAGAAGGCCATAATTACATCAGGGCGCATGCATCAATTTTCACTCCAGGGGTGGGGTGGGGGGCGATATCAACTTCCGAGGAACTTTGAGGTGGCAGAACACAGTTTTCGCCCTATGGGGATTTCTATAGTTAAGGACCCCAAGGTGACTCACTTGGACGCAGTAAAAATTATAGTAGGGTGCACTAGAGGAACACGACCAACTAATATGTTGAAATTTAGGGTATAACCTGCAAAATGACTGAAAACAAAAATAAAAGTTATCGTTTTTTAACATTATGACGCCCTCTTTTATTT